TCATGAGTCTCCAAGTCTTTTATCCTTGCCCTCACCCTTTTAGGCATGGGGTGGTGATACCTGCCCCAGGGACTGCACTGTCCTTTGAGGTTACCCCAGACTCTGCCCATGTCTTTGTAAATAGTCCCTTCGTCAAAAGCTCCTCCAAGACCCTTATCTGAGGAGGTGTCTGTTTCCTGCTGGAAGCCTGATGATACAGTGGGTTTCTGAATCTAGACCCCAAAGAAATTTTAAACCAACACCTTCTTTTCAGATTCTTTCCATGAAAGGGGGTGGGGGGTGGGTAAAAGACATATTGACGTCCCACATCAAAATAAGAAGCTGGCACGAGAAGCAGAGACCAACACACATAAGTTTCATGTACGCATCTGAGATCCATTTTGCCAATGGCAGTCCCCAAAGAAGGCGCATAGCCCAGGCCCACGCAGCAGCTCAGCACAGTCCCTACAGGGCACCTGGACAGAGGCCCCTCTTCGCTGAGGCCCCAGAAGAAGCCCAGCCAGCACCTAGGGCCATGCTTACTTGCGCATCAGCTTCTTTACTTCCCGATCTTCTTCCTCTTGGAGTTTCTGGATGAAGCTTTTAAGGACAGGCATCTCGAACTTTATATACTGGGCCACCTGGGGAGGAAGAAGTAAATCTGGAGTGCATGCCCCCTCCCCCCCAGCATCATTCCAATTCCTTTTGGCATCACCCTTATGCTAAGCACAAAGCCTCAAGAGATCTATTTTTCCACTAACCCAGGTTTCCTTAAAGGGCGTAGCCAAGCCCTATACCATCCAAGGCTGGTACAGAGTCTGTAGTGAAGATCGTGTCATTTACATGACACCATCTTATAACTTCTCATTTTTCATCTCATGTACCTAGTCCATGAAGAGGTGATGTCAAACACGGAAAAGCATTTTCTCCTGATACAGTGATGCAGAGAAAGAACTGAACCTAAGATATTTAATAAGCCTCTTTGTTCTCCCCTAAGGGAATTTAAGGAACTATGCCTCAGAATTATAATCTGTGTCTCAAGTCTAAACAGATTTCCAAATATGAACTTGCTTCAGAGAGACTGTGGGGGTGGGGGTGGCTCCCAGGTGAGTTAAAGTTAAACCACTGTTCCCCCTCCACCACCAGAATCCCCACCCTACTGTGAACTCTCCTTCATGGGAGAAGTATATTTCTCCACCCTGTTAATTCTGGGCTCGCTATGGGACTTGCTTTGGCTAATGGAATGTGTGCACATATGACTGACATGCAAATCCGAGTAGAGGCTTCAAAAGCACCTTCATGGTTTGGCCTGGTTTCCTGTGCTCCAGCCATTCCTCATGAGGAGCATCCTCTGGCAGCCACTGCCCCCTGAGCCTGGATCTCTGAATGAGACATGCACTGCAGACCTGAAATCAACCCACAGCCTAGAGCAGAGCTGCTGCTACCAGCCCACAGAATCATGAACAAAAAAGTAAACATGTACAACCTGCTGTAAGCGACTAAGATTTGCAGATGTGTGTTACTGTAGCAAAAGCCAATTATTACTTAAGATGAGGTACAATCACTGCTAACTTCTTCACATTGCTGAGTGTTTACAGAAACTTCTCAGCCCTCTTACAGCACCCTAGAAAGAAATGTATTCCTTCTATGGAAATCACTTTCTGGTTGAGTATTCCTCCAACAATTCCCACAGGGCACACCCTCAACCTGGCCTCAAGAAAACCTGGTATTGAAGAATGGCATGGTAAGAGGGGCATGGTCTTCAGCCAAAAAGTCATGCTATACCCCAGTTGCAGGTAACCCAACCAAATCCCCCATCCTCCCGAGGACAGACCACCTGACCAAAAGGGGACTCACATCATAGGTGACTTCCTCCACCTGGTCCTTCTCCATAAGGAACACTTTGGAGACCTGTTCACATGGGCCCTGGAGGATTCGGGCAATGAGGGGGTAATCGGTGGACTTCAGCTTCTGTTTCTCTGGAACCACACACAACCAGGAGCAGACCTGAGTTTGGCCTGAGGCCTTTCTCACCATAAACAGTGATCAACTCAGGGGCCTAAATGGACCAGGCACCTTAGGAGATGCAGCCATGCAAGTCAGGACACTGATTTGTAAGTAACTATTTAACAGGTGTTGTTAAAAGCAACCTCCTCCCACTCCCCTCCCCACAACAATACTACCAAACCTCAAACCCTTTGGAAGATGCCACTTTGGAGGAATTGGGTTTATCTATCTCTTGAGAAAACCCAGTTCCTTTTATAATAAGCAGTTAGGTTTTAGAGTTTGTTTACTGACCACGTATGGCATTCCCCACTGGACTCATCCAGCAAGCCCACCAGCCTTAGAGGCAAACAACATTTGCAAGTTTCCAAAACCCAAACAACAAAAGAATGAGGCAGAGGTATTTTTTTTTAACTTGCTATTTTGAGTTAATTAAAAGTTTTAAAGTACACTGCGTTCTTCAGACTTACCACCACTGGTATGGACCACGTACAAAGCAAACTCCTCTGCTGAATTCTCAATCTGAATCAGGAGCAAAAGACACTTGCTGAAAGCATATATTTAAACATTCTAACTTTGAACCACTGCCTGTTCTTTAACACTGCAAAGCTAGGAAGATTTTAGGCTCTTTTGAGGAGAGGGCTATTTCTCTACAACTGTCAGAAGTGACGAGATCGGCAGGCAGAAAACTCCATCCACAACTGTAGAGGATAATAGCTGACATCTACAACAATGTGCCAGGCACGGTTCTATACATTTTACACATTTGAACTCATCTGATTGTCATGACAAGCCCATAACAAGTTCCCAGGTAGTGCTTACCTTGAATAATGAGGGTCCAAAGAACCCAAACCCTCTGCCCAGCGCCCCCCAAACCACACGCTTTCCACAGCTGCCCTGACTACCCCTCTCAGGATCCTCAAGGCACACGTGCAACCCTGGCTGTGGCCATCCATCAAAGGGCACTTGCCTTAAATTTATTGAGTAGCAGCTTCAGGACCTGCGGGGTGGTCATGGTGCTGTTGATGCGAACATTAGTGACCGAGCCGTAGGCTGGCGTGAACACCGACGTCTGTCAATAGAAGGATCCAGCTCAAGGTGGAAGCGGGGACAAGGACCGAATACTAAAACCCAGGTGGTTACGGGGCAGTGACAATGGTACTCAAAATGTGCTTGCTAAGAGCCCCCTGACAATCTGGGCTGCATTGACAAAGCTACCCTCCCGGTTTACCTGACTCAGTTCCTGCTTCCCCTGGGAAGCTTAGAGCACCTGAACTCACAAATGGCAGGGTTGGAGCAGGGGGAATCAGATAAGTGAGGCCTTCTCTCTAGATAAAACACTCACAAAGACCCTTCCACTGGGACTTCAGCACCAGGAGGTCCTTAACCAATCTCCCACCATGAACGTACTTCTAGAGGCAGGATTTGAACCAAGTGGCCGGAGGAAAGAAAGGGTCAGCTAGCTTGGGGTGGGGCGAGTGGTATGCAGACATCTCCAGATCCGAGACCCCCAGTTCTGTTTTGATGTCAGCTCTCAGCTCAGGGAAAAGTCAGACTACACACCCATGTGCAGGAAGAGGGCCACACATGGATTTACCAGGGTTGTGGAGGAGAGGTTCAGGAGGTGCACTTATGGGGTCTTCAAGGCTACAGCAGGGACAGCTTTGTACAGCAGTCCCACCACACTAGCGAGGAACCCCAAGGGATCTCTGAGCCTCTTGACCTGAGTTCCCTCATCCTTCGCAAAGCTGGCAGAGCCTGCAGCTCACCCACAACTCAAAGACTGCACAGCAAACACTTGGCTTTCAGGTGTCCCACCAGAGACCACATGGCTGTAGCCCTGAGGTAGCAGCTGCCCAAGAAGGGGTCTTGCCTCCGAGGCTGTCCCTTTCCCCTGCCCCCCATTCACTCTACCTTGTGGTTGTAGAAATGGCCATTGATGGAAAAGCGGTGGCGTCGGATTCGCCGCTGGTCGCTGGGTGTCCTCACATTGCCACGGCGACGCACACCCACGTCACTGCGTGTGCGCATCAGCTGTGGGGTGTCTTCCTGCAGGGGCTTCAGGCCCTTGGAGTCTGAGAGGGTAGAGGGACGTGAGCTCTGTCTGCCTGGACCCCAGGACAGGATNGGTTTAAAAGAGTTAATACATGTAAAGCACTTAGAACAGTGCCTGGCACAGGATAAGCATGATATAAGGACTTGCATGATACTGCACAGTAATTCTGACACATGCTTACAACGTGGATGAACCCTGAGGACACTATGCTAAGTGAAATAAGCCAGTCCCAAAAAGACAAATACTGTGATTTCACTTACATGAGGTTCTTAGAGTAGCCAAAATCATAGAAACAGAAATTAGAATGGTGGTTGCTAAGGGCTTAAAGGAGGGGGAAATAGGGAGTTATTTAATGGGTACTGAGTTTCACTTTTACAAAAGGAAAAGAGTTCTGGAGATGGATAGTGGTGACAGTTGCTCCAAATTATGAACGTATTTAATACTGAACTGTACACTAAAAAATGGCTAAGATGGTAAATTCTATGTTATGTATATTTTACCACAAATTGGAAAAAAATAATGCTTAATAAAGCACATAGATATAAATATATGGTGTTCACATAACATATTTCTATCTCTGTTGTGTGCATAAATATTAAATATTGACATTTACCCAATTGTGAAGCACAAGCAGGTTAATGTTTTTATTAAAATATATTTAATCCACATTATATATAAAAAGGATATTACAAACTGACACTATCTATCAACGTTACAAATGCACATAGCCTCAGACCCAGCAGTTCCACGTGAAAGAATCCTATAGACACACTGACAAATATGTGAAATGACACATGTCCAAGGCCACTGACTACAATCTTGTTTGTCATAGCGAAGACTGAAAATGAATTAAATGTCTATCAATAGGGAGTGATTAAATAAATTATCATTTTCCAAACAATGGAATACTGCAAAGCTGTAAAGAATGAGGAAGTTCTTTATGGATTTGTAGGGAACAATCCCCAAGATAAGTTGATACATGAAAACAGCAATGTGCAAAATACTACCACTTGCGGCGGCGCTCCTGCCGAGGGTTCGGATCCCACATACAGACCGGTTCCCGCTCACTGGCTGAGCGAGGTGCGGGGGCAGCGCCGAAGGTTGCGATCCCGTTGCCGGTCCCGGTCTGGTACGGGCGCGACACTGAGGGTTGCAATCCATTGCCGGCCACGAAAAAAGACAAAAAGGAAAAAAAAAAAACAGCAATGTGCAAAATACTACCACTTGTGTAAGATTTCTTTATGGATTTGTAGGGAACAATCCCCAAGATAAGTTGATACATGAAAACAGCAATGTGCAAAATACTACCACTTGTGTAAGAAGGGAAAGGAAAGGAATTACCTCCAACCATAAAGGTATGAGGGTTTGTATTTGCATAGAATATCATGGGAAGGATAAAATTGGGTTGCTTCTAGGTAGGCGGATGAGGTGGGAGACTTTTAGTTTTCCTTTTAATACTTTTTGAATCTTGAGCCACGTGAATTTTATATGTTCAAAAATAAATAAGATGACAATATCTATCACAGCTCTCCTCACAGTTAGCCCCCAACTGGAGGCTCCTCCCACAGCACATGTACCTGTGGGGCTCGGTGTCTGGTTGCTCTCCAAAGGTGCATCCACCTCTGAGATCTGGATGTCGGGCATGGTGAGGGGCTTCAGGATGGTGCTGTGGGGCAGAAAACAAAACAAAAGGGAGATTGGTTTAGCCCTACAGAAAGATGCTGCCACTCCTGCAACACCTCACTCCTGCAAGGGGAGCACTTTGCTTGTGCCAGGCTGGGTATTGGCACCCATCAGGCACTGAGGGATGCAGGGTGGGCTGTGCTGAGCATCCCATGAGGCTGGCCCAGCTCCCAGGCTGAGGATGGTGGGGAGGGGGAGCTCTGGAGAGAGACGATATCCTCTCCCAGCATCTGCAGCAACACAAGCACCCAATTCATCAGGCCCAGGATGGAGAACACTGAAGAATAAAACCCGTGTGTTGCTTCCTGCACTGAGATTCTAAGCACGTATGGGTTCTATGGCTCATTTGGAAAACCCAAATAATGGCCATTTGTTTCTCAGAGCAGGATTCTAGTTCAGATCCATTTCTGTTGGAGGAATAACTCATAAGTTGCTTCTGCATCTAAAGGGAGTGGAAAGCAACAAGCTGGCAGCTACAAGGGTCAGGGCAGCTTTGGAAGAGACACCGATGACAGTGTTCTCAGGGTCACAAGGACAGAGACCTCAGCCAAGCTGGGCCACAAGCAGACAGCCGGTCAGAGACCTGGGTTTGCCAAGATAACTGTCAAATAACTCCTCAAAGCCGAGAAGGACAATAGGAGCAGCTCAGAGAGACACATCCCAAATTAATAGAGGATTTGGCCAGAAAAGAGAATCACTGGACCAATGACCAATTACAACCATCCCATGGTGAGAAGAGTGGTGGCTTCATGAAACCTGGTAGAGATAGACCTCACGTTCCAGGGACAATAATTTTAAGGGAAGACAACTAAAATTGAAAATTTTACAACCATCCCATGGTGAGAAGAGTGGTGGCTTCATGAAACCTGGTAGAGATAGACCTCATGTTCCAGGGACAATAATTTTAAGGGAAGACAACTAAAATTGAAAATTTGAAAGAACTTCCTAATGTAATATAACTCATAGACTTCTGAGCCCCAGAATGGATCTGGTCAGAGCCTCTTGGGAATGGCGAACACTCGGCACCCACAGTAGCCACGTCCCACTCCCTGGTTCAAAGCCCTCTTTCTTGCTGAAGCAGAAAGTGGTCTCAGTCTCCTTCTTAACACAGTGGTCCAAGCATTCCAGACTGGCATCTGGGATGACATTTTCTGCCATTCCTGAAAATTCTCTCAAAGTATTTGCAGGTTTCAAGGGCCAACCAAGACCAGCTTGAAGCCCCAGAAAAACAGAATAAACAAGTATTAAGAGTGAAGGACCCCTTAGCAGTCCCAGCCAAAGGCCACATGGTCAAATGGAATTTTAAAAATCATCTCACTAAGGGATTGAAATATAACGGTCTGGGGGTCAGGGTCAGGCTGTTGAAAGGGTTTGGCCCATTGGAAATCAAACACAGTGAAAGTGCTGAAAGCAAAGCTGAGTGTGAAACCAGCAAAGATAGATGAAACCAAAGAACTTGACCAGACACCCCAGCGCCCAGCAGGACGGGCAACAATTTTCCTCCTTAAATTCCCTTAGAAAGAAACCAGATCTGCCCCAGGATTTGGCCATATTGTAGGTTTCTCTCAATTGCAGGGAAAGATAGATTTGGCTGTGGAGTTTAACAAAACGTTCCATGTGGCCAACAGAGAGGGGTTGGTTCTCATTTAAACTAGAAAAAACATCACTGTGGTTTTGGCTGAGAGGCCAGCACACTCCACCCGGGCTCTGGCCTGAAGGCCGTCAGCATCAGCAAGTTTCAAGAGAGAACAAGGCTGGTCATTCGATCCCCAAAGCTGAAGGCCCAGAAAGCCAAGAAAAAGTGAATCTTACAAGATGCATTTGGCTATTCATTTGGCCATGGAGGACAGGGGAACAGGCTTGGTCTTCACAGACCTCCTGGTGGGGACCTGGGGGAGGGGACCTCTCAGACTACTGACCTTCTCGCCACAACCCAGCTCCAGGTGAGGCCTGAAGGAGCAGACCCCTGGCCGACCTCCCATGCCTTTTCCTTTTCCAGGTTCCCCCCACGACTTGGAGATCTTTGGTGAGAAGGTTCAAGCACTAAACATCTCCAGAGTGGGGTCATTCTGTGAGGAGTGGTCCCAGTGGGGAGGACGCTGGGATGTCCTGCCAGAAATCTAGGCTGGGCCTAGCTAGCCACTAGCAACACCCTTGAGAGACTCTGCAATTCGCCACGAATGAGGACACACTGTCACCCAGGCCTTGGAGCACCCCCTTTCTGATTCAGCAGAGTGAGATCTCCTCACTTTGATCTTACTCAGTGATGGTGGTGGCAGGATGGGAGCTTGGTCACACCAGTATCTGCCCCTTTCTCATCCCAAGCCCCAAGCAGGTGGGCAGTGGAGGTGGTGGGAACAGGGGCGGGATCAAGGCTGGCTGGAAGAAGGCAGCATTTATGTGCATGAAAACACACAGAACCTCCAGGCCCCCCAGTCATCTCCCAGCCCCAT